CGCAACACTCGGCGAGGATAACCTTATGAACCGCGTACACAGCTACATATGGTATGCACTTATGTTCATACCGGATGCGCGGCAATACATGCTGAACATTGCCCCCATACCACGCACGCACGCAATCGCCTATAGCAGTCAGATCCGGCCATTTCAAATTCCCTGCGTAGCCACAGCCGCTTCTCGCAATGGGCGCCCGTGAGCGCAAAGCCGTGGGACAGTGGTGGGTTGTAGCTGCCTTTGTTTGAAGTTATAGGGGCGCGCTATTGCGCCGTGGATTATTGGTCCAAAGAATGAGAATCGTTGTCGTAGGTTTTAGGGCATGTCTATCTTTCGGATTGCGAGCGTGTCTACGATCCGGAAACGATTTGTACGCGATGATGGGGAATGTACCTGTGTCTCGATTTGAGCTTCAAGTTGATGAGTTCGCGTAGTAAAATCGTAGGTATTATAAGGCTAGGTAAATGTATCGAATTTCCCTTGTTTATTGATGTCACACTTCCTCCTATCTATACACTCCTGGAGTATATCATATATATTGCGTTGTTACTCGTATAATAATCAAATGGCGCAACCTTGCTAGCACGTGGCTTTTAACTGTATAACATACTACGCGTGTATGTGTGCGTGCGTGCGTGCGTGCGTGCGTGCGGCGGTGCGTGGCGTGCGTCGCGTGCGTGCGTGCGTGCGTATGGCGTGCGTGCGTGGTGTTGTGCGTGGCGTGCTTGCCTGCTTGGTCTGCGGGGCGGTGGTCAGTGAGTGGGGGCCGAGGTACGTGGGATCATGCCCATGTGTGTAAGCGAGATAGCGTACGCATAATTACGCTAGCTTATAATTTTTCTCCGCCAAGGCCAGCGCATATTAAGGCACGGGCGCCTGCAGTCATAATTAGCAGGAGTCGTTAGTAACGGTTGAGGAGGAGGCAGATCTCGTCAAACAGATTCGCTAATGTGAATGGCCAGCTTTCTCCGGGCATCACGCGCGCTCTCAGGCCGCCCTACTCACGCTGATTTATGCGGGGCCGCTTCCTCATCGTAACCACATCAGTGATTGAGATTTGGGATTTAGTTAACGCGCAGCTCTAACTGTAAATACGGATTCGTGTTTTCAGTGGGAATGTTGCTGATCCCTCCCGTGCGTAGTGTTTTCAGTGGGAATGTTGCTAATCCCTCCCGCTCGTAGTGTTTTCAGTGGGAATGTTGCTAATCCCTCCCGCTCGTAGTGTTTTCAGTGGGAATGTTGCTAATCCCTCCCGCTCGTAGTGTTTTCAGTGGGCAATGGTTGCTGAGATCCGTCCCGCTCGTACTCGTTTTCAGTGGGATATGTTACATCGCCTCCCGCTCCGTAGTGCTTTTCAGTGGGAATGTTAGTCCAAATCCCTCTCCGCCTCGTAGTGTTTTCAGTGGGAATGTTGCTAATCCCTCCCGCTCGTAGTGTTTTCAGTCGCGCGAATGTTGCTAATCCCTCCCGCTCGTAGTGTTTTCAGTGGGGAATGTTATCCTCGCCGTCGGTAGGATTCTCCGTAGTGTTTTCAGTGGGAATGTTGCTAATCCCTCCCGCGCGTAGTAGTGAGGGTCATGTTGTTAGTGGCCGACGAGCGCACGCGGCGCGCGCACGTGCATTAGCTTAGTACGTCCCTCGTATGCTTAATACTGGTAAACAGCGTTAATCACCGAACAAAGCGCGACGGCGTCGTAAATGATTCATCGTCGCCTTTCACGTCGCGAGCAAGCTGACGCGAATAGAGCAGGGTGACCTGCGACACTGCGAGGCTTCCCCAGTGCTCGTAATTGCGCGCGCGCGCGTGACTTGTTAGGCATCACGTACACTCGTTGCAGGTGGGGCGGGAGTCGTGGAGGCGGGGATCGGAGGGGTGGTGGGGGCCGCTGGTCATCCCATTAACGGGTGTTTACTCTAATCGGAATTTCCTGCTTTTTGGGATTCCGTGCAGACGTTCCCGCAGGTCGATGCACGAAGTTTGCGTGCGTTCAGTCATCATCGCGAGTCACTGAAATAGCATTTACTCGTCCCTAGTCCAATACAGAGGTGATCGATAGAATGTGTGACATACATAATTTGTGTTGCCGGCTGGCGTTGCCTGCTGACATTTTACAGCTCTTTCGCGGTCGTTTTTTCACTGTCGGTGCGAGATTTGTTAGCTGTGTTACTGTCCGTAGCTTTGGTTAGTTAGCTGCCTGTGCCGCTTGCCTCTGACCACTTCATAGTTACCTAGTTCCATCTCTCTCTCTCTCTCTCTCTCCTTTTTTTTTTTCCTTCTTTTTGGTCTTTCCTTTTTTCTCTCTCTCTCTCTCCTCTCTCTCTCTCTCTACATCTCGTCTCTCTCTCTCTCCTCTCTCTCTGCTCTCTCTCTCTCTCTCTCTCTCTCGCTCTCTCTCTTGCTCCTGTCTCGCTCCCCTCCGCTCTCTCTCTCTCTTCTCCTCTCTCTCGCTCTCTCTTCTCTTCTCTCGTGAGTGTGTCTTTCTCGGAGTATCGTACCCGTGCCTTGTGCTGCGACGTTGTGTGTCGTCTAAACTCCCCCGAATCCTCTCGTTCGCCCTGTTCGTGCACTATCTTCTTTCTTGTTCTCTCTGTCTCTCTTTTCTTCGCTCTTCGTGCACTATCTCTATTCTTTCTCTCTCTCATTCCTCATCTCTCTCTCTCCTCTTCTCTCTCTCTCTCTCTCTCTCTGCTGCTCTCTCTCTTCTCTCTCTTTCTTCGTCCTTCTCTCTCTCTCTCCTCTCTCTCTCTCTCTTTCTCTCTCTCTAATCTCTCCTCTCTCTCTCCTCTTTCGGCGCGCGGCTCTCTCTCTCTCTCGCCCTCTCTCTCTCTCCCTCGCTCTCTCCCTTTCTCTCCCGCTCTCTCTCTCTTTCTTTCTCTCTCTCTCTTTCTCTCCTTCCCACACGTCTCTCGGTATCTAAACTAGAATGACTGAAAATTCCCACATGAATTTATGCAATAAATTTTACTGATTGCCGTTAGGGCACAATGGCGGGAATTAATGCGAGCTGTTAACGCGGTGTCACTGATTCATAGCCAAATCCAATTGACTGCGTTCACCGAGACATGATGCAGTTGATAACGTCACGGCGAAAGAAATCTGTTAATTGTACTCTGCTTTCATTGACAATAGGGCTGGCCGCTGCAGCCAGAAAAGTCACATTACCGTTTTCGCTACGTTTCATCCGAATTTTTTTGGCAATTTTTCTGTTCCGTCGTTCTTTTGCGTCACTGCATATTTGCACGGTTTTATATTGCGTCTCTATAATGTGCGCGCGCGTGCGTGCGAGCAGGGCGCTTAACGGCTGCGTGTCTATCTTTAACCATCGGCTGTCCGGTGGCTGGCGATGCGTGCGATCAAGCCAGCAATAAAACTAAAGCGTCTCCAGTCGAGCGGCACCGAGCGCGAAGGCGGCAGTCGACGACCCGCTGCGTGCGCCCCCTGGGGACGCGCAGAGAAAGCGCTGGCAACGACAGCATCTGCTGCGCTGTCGGCGGTGATGTCAACCATGAATGCGAAACATATATATATATATATATATATATATATATATATATATCAGCGCAGTGGTGCTCCGCGTGTAGCCGTTTCGGCAGCGAAATTTTTTTCCCACTTGATTCCCCGACCACAGCCAATGCAGCGCACCCATTTCACTCGCTTCCTCGAAGCAACAATGTAAAATGAATACCACCTAACCATAACACTAACTATAATCCATATATATACGAACCATATATTACAATACACTATCTATGGTGGGTTCGGAACTCAAGTGGGAAAAAAAATTTCGCGTCCCGGCAGGGGAGGGAAGGGGGGGGGAGCTTCACATGATGATCCTAGTGTCAGAAGCCATTGGTAACCCCGCTGCGTTACCCGCTACTGCACGCCTGCCTCCCGCTTTATACTCACCAGGGTAAATCACCGATTCCGTGTGTGTCGAGAAGGTATAGCTAACTATCTATACAGCTAGTTAGCTACGTACGGATGCATTACCTTGTCACTATATCCCACGTAGGGGACACCGATAGGTATGAAACCATGTCGTGATATATCATTGGTAATTCATGTGGAGCCTGCCTGCTTCACGTACGGAGCAGTAGCGTGGGCATGGTTTATATGCACCGAAGTGATATAGGGCACCTTTTTAATATATGACAGCTCGTGCTTACACTGAGGCGTTAGTAGACACTGTAGTGTATTATTCAAAACATCCAGTTAGTATAACAGTGATGTAAGACACGAGGGAGCGACGAACCATTATGTAAATGAGAATGTGCTACAGAGAAAATAAGTAGTACTAGTATATTGGCAATGTATTAATGTAGTATTGAAGTACCTTGACTAATACCATAGTAGTACCATAATATAAGGATTGTTCTCGTCTTTTATGTCATCTTATGTCTCTGTACAAAAGTATTGTAATTGCATGTGTATATATAGTAAAAAAAAATACTGCATTGTATAATGTTTCGCTAAGTCAGTAAATAGCCACGAACGATTGTCCTCAGCTTTTTGTTAACACAGTTTTCAAATGAATAAATCATTTATTGATATTCTAAATGGCATAATTGCATTCCTCATCCCAGAAAATGTATGTTTAGACACCAAGTTTGCCCTCCTAAGTGACCTAGAAGCCGAGCTATTGACATTATAGGTTTTTACATGGTGGCCATCTTGGAATCCAAGATGGCTGCTTTCCACTATCTTGCTGAAGTGGCTCCTATTAAAAATTGAAAGTTAAGGTAATAGATAGCACATGGAAAAAGTTTGGTGCTTTTATCCAGAATGTCCTCTTTATTTTGTTTAGCCACCTGACCACTGAGAAGGTCGAGCTGTCGACTGCTAGGATGTGCTAGATACGTGCGAACCTTTAAGTGCTGTGAGCAAGAAGGCACGAAAAAAACACGTCTACTCGTCGTAGAGTGGCGTTCGAACTCCCTTCAAAATTTCCTATTCCTGAAAATCAGTGAGTGACTAACGTACGTTTGCTTTTGTTTCGCAGTGACTCACCTGAAGCTGGATCTGGAGATGTCATCGACGGGCAAGGGGCAAGGCGGAGTGTTGACCGTGGTGCTTGATGGCATGAGAGTGAATATGGACCAGTTTCCAGTGCAGCCCACGCAGAACGGACCGGCTTCAGAGTCAGGTAAACACTGGCGCGTTAGCATGGAATAGAGAGAGGGAGAGAGAAGGAAGGAAGGAGGGAGAAAAAGAGAGAGGGAAGGAGGAAGAGAGAGGGAGAGAGTGGGCAAGGAGGGTGGGCAGGAGGGTGATAGACGAATGGAGGGAGAGAGAGAGGGAAGAGGGCAGGAAGGAGGGAGAGAGAGAGGGGGGAGGAAGAAAGGGAGGAAGAGAGAGAAATGTGAGATTGAGAGAGAACGAGATAGGAGGGAGAGGCATGAGAATTACTCATGTCCAATTTACAGTCACGCATATATTAAATGTTAATACGAACGCATGAATTTTTAATGGCCGACGGATAACTAGCTTTTTTTACAATTGCCATAAGTCATGGGTTGTCATGCCATATCTCGAGATGTATTTCGCATAGCGTTCTGAAATCTTTATAGATATAATTTTGAAGTCTGTTCTCCGTGTGCACTGCAGCTTTGTTGAGTGGTTTGCTTTGCTTGTTTCGTTGACGTCATTTGATTTCCCTGTGGTATCTATTTTGCATGAGTATAGCGCAGGCTAGGCGAATTATGTTGGCATAATTCATTAATCTTTCCATCAACTGGTTCCCGCTTTTATTACGATTAGTTCTAGCGAATTGATCTTAGCTTCTTCGTACAAACCAGTCACACACAGGATGTGTTATTTTACCATTCTATCAGAGTATCTGTCGCTGTGCCACAGGAGCTAGTATTACCTTGACTCTTAAGCATGATTGTGATGAATGCCTGTGAAACTGTTGCGATAAATTTGGTTCCAGTTATATGAATGTTGCCATAGCAACTGGTTCTCAGGTTCTCTTATATTCGTGATTTGGCAAAAAACAGACCTGGCTATTCTCTTCTTACTTTACAGAGATTCTGTGATATGCAATTAGAATGACTTCTTAAGTCAATCCTTCGTGTCTGTATCTCCCACATCTTAGTTAGTCAGCTCGCGAACAACCTTATTGGGCCGAGTTGCCAAGGTCGTTGTGATTGGCTTCATGAATTTCATGATTCTGTTGTTGTAAGTTTACATACGGTCGCACGTCAGTTCCTTATTGCAGCTGCCGAGACTTCAGAGAATTAATCTAGTACTCAGACTTGCGTTCGTGTAGCATTTTCAGCCAAATAAATCCAATATACCAGCACGCAGCGACTATTATCAGATTTCATTATGCTTCCTGCAACATTTTTGCATTGATGTGTGTAATTACGGAATGATGTAGCCGAGTGTGAACTTTCTCATATCGTACTAAAAACAATTGTCAAAGTCACAATTTTTCCATAAACCGCATCGATTTACACGCGCGAATTTTCTCGTGTTTTCTCATGTCTCGGGTTAGTTTACACTTTTTCAGGTTTCCTTGTCGTTTTCAGCGCGATTGATTTGCAGTTTTTTTTCACATGCTTTTTTTCGCACGTGCCTTTTCCTCTTTATTCACCACGATAAACTGCTGTGTCGTGCGTGTAGTTGGTGAATTAACGAAGGGCGGTCTAGCCACCATATGTCACCTAGTTTGTTACAGCCTGACTTCAGATTCAGTAGTCGTCAGGTTGAGTGGAAGGCAATGACCTTGAGTGGAAGGCCCTGCACACTCGTGATGTTGGTAGTATAGTGCAGTTACATCCACGTGATGTTGGTAGTATAGTGCAGTTACATCCACGTGATGTTGGTAGTATAGTGCAGTTACATCCACGTGATGTTGGTAGTATAGGTGCAGTATACCTCCACGTGATGCTTGGTGGTACTAGTGGGCAGTTACACTCACCGTAACGTGATGTTGGTAGTGATCAGTGCAGGTGTTACATCCACGTGATGTTTGGTAGTATAGTGAGTTACATCCCACTGATGTTGGTAGTATAGTGCGCTACATGCACGTGATGTTGGTAGTGATGGTGCGAGTTAGCAATCCACGTGATGTCTTGATAGTAATGAGTTGCAGTTACATCGCACGTGGATGTTTCGTAGTCACTGTCAGTTACATCCACGATCGATGCTTGGTAAGTATAAGTTGCCAGATTACATCCACGTGATGTTGTTATATGTTGCCAGTTACCATCCACGTGATGTTTGTAGTATGTTGCAGTTACAACTCCACGTGATTGTTGGTAGTATGTTTGCAGCTTCACAATCGCAACCGTGGATGTTGGTAGTCATGTTGCAGTTTACATCCCCACCGTTATGTTTGGTAGTATGTCGGCAGTTATCATCCACCGTGATGTTCGGTAGTATGTTGCAGTTACACTCCACTCGTGATGTTCGGTAAGTTAATATGTGGCAGTACATCCAGTGATAGTGTGGTGTTGTTGGGCACGTTACATCCACGAGATGTTAGTAGTAATGTTGGGCGAGTTACATCCACGTGATGTGGTAGTATAGTGCAGTTTACATCGCACGTGATGTGGTAGTAATAGTGCACGTTACATCCACGTGATGTTTGGTAATAGCTTGGGCACGTACATCCACGTGATGTTGGTAGTATGTTGCAGTTACATCCACGTGATGTTGGTAGTATGTTGCAGTTACATCCACGTGATGTTGGTAGTATGTTGCAGTTACTCTCGACGTGACGTTAGTTGCTCATGGGCGTACCTATACTTGTGCATATTTATATATTATACTGAGTACAGATATGTTCGTGGGTCTCATGGAGCAGGCTATATCATGGTAGCGTCATATATTGGTAGTCATTGGTAATGTGCTTTACCGTCATACGGTCATGCATGTGCGGTGCTGGCGAATGAATGTACCACTCTGTGTGATTGCAACTATCCGTGTTACTATTTTTACTGGCCGTGTTTATTGCACACCGGCACGAAGCGAGTGTGGTCCAGTCGTGAATCACTCGGCTCTCGCGGGAGTGCTACCGATGTTACCACCTGTAAATTGGCCCTCACTTTGTGTTGATGAAGTCTATGGCGATTGGCGCCACTTTAACTTGGCGTTCTTCTTTGGAACCCAATATTAGCACGAGAGTTTGTAGCCGAAGAATTATTCCCGTCCGCCTATACATGTATTGCGATGATACTATTTATGTAGTCTAAATATGGTCATAGCAGTGGCAGAGGCGGAGGTGGCTACAGCAGAGGTCGTGATGGGAGAAGCAGAGCAAGTGGCAAGGCAGATGCAACAGCAGTAGTAATTGCAGCGGTGGTGGCTGTGGCAAAGGCAGGAACGGATGTATAGGAGGCAGCAGCCGCGGGGGCATGGAGGAGTCAAAGGCGGTGGTGGAGGAAACAACAGTGGTGGGAGTCGTGGAGGAGGAAAGGGCGGTGGAAGAGGCAACAACAGTAGTGGGAGTCATGGAGGAGGCAAGGGCAGTGGAAGAGGCAACAACAGTAGTGGGAGTCGTAGAGGAGGAAAGGGCAGTGGAAGAGGCAACAACAGTATGACCGCATCCTCCGAATTTCCCTGCAGTGATGACTGCGTCACAGCATCACTATAGTCGAGTCTGACTGACGTTAGCTAATCTTCTCTATAACCGTACTTGGCTATCAGCTCTTCTGTATCTCATCATCCTTCCAGTCCAATCATCCCAGCTTCTGCTTTTTTTTATTATTGCTGCTTCCTTTCATTAGCTTTCGCAGCGGATTGCTGTCGGACGTGTGATAAGAAAGCTGATGGGTTTGCGTTTTTGCCTGTTCTTCTGATTGCCAGTCTCCTGTCAGTATTATACTAGCCTACAAGACAAATCTACATTATGTATTAATTAGGCGGATTGCCCCATGTCTGTCTTAGTGGTGTGAGTGTGATTGTAATAATGAGTGGATGAAGAGATCTTTACTATATTCTCATCCACGTATGTATGGTCTTAATTGCATAAAACGCGTATTAGTGAAGGCTTTTTCAGGTAGTTGTTTCCTAAAAGAAGCGTCATTATTTTATGAGGCCATCACAATTTGAAAGGCTGAAGCGTAATTGATATAAGTTGGGGTAGGGTGGCGGATATCGGATGACACGTAATCATGTTATGAGTTAATGATAAAGTTGTCTTGTATTTTTAAACTTCCCCCAAGTCTTATGAACGACGGACGTTATAAAGGTCATGTCCCACCACATGTGGTGCAACTACATATAATTGTCAACACATTAGATTGTAATCAACAACTCTATTTATTGGAGCAAGTGCAATATAGCTAGCAAATTTCCTCCAAGTGCTCCAAAAATCTGTGCGCAATTGCACATTATCCAAGCAAGTGCGCCATAACATCTGAGCTGATCTATGATACCTAGTTTTAACAGTCACATTAAATGACTACTGTCACGACTGTTCTTAAATCGAGTCGTAGTGACATGACGAAATACTCTCCGTATTTCTGCTTGTCTAAAGGGTACTAGGATCTCTGTACAATGGAGAGCTGAATCTTCGAGGAAGTGACCGGGAGCTGAAACTATGCTGGGGGTCAGGCTAAAACACGCGACGTTAATCTGCCCATGCGCAAAGAACGGATGTTTTTTTATTTGCGATGAGATTCTCCTCTTCCTGCTTACAGTCATTATTGCGTCGCATGGCCGTGACGCTCTCTGGACGCCTAGCGAATTAATTTCAGCTACGACGTGTTTAATTAAATGTATCGCACCCGATTAATTCAAGTTAATTAGGCGGCTGAGTATGTCCTCCGACGGCCGCCGGCAAAGCTGATTCATTCGCCCGAGGGCTAATTATGCTGTTTTCATTGCTGGCAGACAAGTGTGTTTACCAGCCTCACTAGTACTATACGCGTGCAGTCACTGTGGAGGATGCTATTGCTTATCGTAGGCGATGGTGACATGAGGCCGCGTGCAAACATGCGAGACGCGCACGCGTCTGTCATGGCCGTTCTACGGGGGAACGCGCACGCGCGTGCTGCGTGCGAGAAAAATGAGATAGGTGGTGGTGCTTGGGGTGTGTCGGTGGGAGATGTTTGTGCAGTGTGTAGTTTTTAGGGTGTGTGGTGTATGTGTGTGTGTGCGTGCGTGCGTGCATGCAATGTGGCGTGCGTTTGTGTG